ATTCGATCATGGATAACTAAAAATTCTATCATGGGTTACAAAAAAAAAAAAAACAAAAAAATCGATCATGGATTACAAGAAAAGAAAACAAACATTTCGATCATGGATTACAAAAAATTCTATTATGGGTTACAAAAAACCAAAAAATTCGATCATGGATTACAAAAAAATCTATCATGGATTACCAAACAAAAAAAAAAAAATCCGTACGGAATCGCCGATTCACTGTTCGGACTCGCCGATTCCGTACAGTGAATCGGCGGTTCACTGTACAGAATCGTCCGGTTCTCTCTAGAACCGGACGATTTTCGATTTTTGGGCGATCCGGTTCCTTTTTCACTATTTCCGAGTCGAACCAGGCGAGTCCGGTTCGACTCGGCGTTTTTTAAAACGCTGGTAAAAACTATCTCACCGATACAAATGCATAAAAATTGCGAGATATATAATATAAGAGTTACGTCTTTTTAGAGATAAAAATTCTAACAAAGCATTTTGGAAAAGTAAGAAACTTTATATACAAAAAAAAGGAAACAAGCTCCTATTTGTAAAGAAAGAAAACACCTTTTCAAGCACTTTGTTTGAAAAACCCTAACCCGCTAAAAAAACCCAAACTATTACAGCTTAACTAAGTATAATCCAAAATTATTACAATCTCGCTAATTATAATATTATATATTAAAATTATAATTATTAGTTTACATTTTATAATTATTTTATTAGACAAATAATAACAAATTAAAAATATTTTATAATATTATCTAATTTAAAATGTATTATCGACAACTGTAAGAAAAATAGTATATTACATGATTTATAATGTAAAAATTTATAAATAAAATAAAAGATTTGGTTATCAATGTAAAAATTAATAAAATGCGTACAAATTTTGGAAATAACACTTCAATTTTTCAAAAATTTATTTTTTAGGTTTCTATAATAAATTTAGTATAAGAGATTGTTATTAGAAAGATGGAGATTTCAAATAGAATAGACTTTTTATTTTTATTTTTTTATACCTTTCATATTATTTACAAAAATAATTATACCACTATATACAACAAAAATTAACGGTTATATAAAAAATTAATTTTTTTATTTTTTTATGTCTATTATATTATTTACAAAAATATTTATATTAATACCAACCACTATATACACAACAAAAATATTTATATTTATACCAACCACTATATATACAACAAAAATGCAACACATGCCCAAGGGGATTGGAAAACAACAAAAATATTTATACCAACCACTATATACACAACAAAAATGCAACACATGCCCAAGGGGATACCATCAAACCATCTAACTACATGTGATTATAAATTGCTGATTAATAGACTATATTTACATTTCGTTTTCATTTAATGATGTTTGGAAATTATCCCACATCGGAAGATGGGAATTCAAATTTGGTATATAAATACCTATGTAATATGAATTATAAAATGTGTATAAAAATATTATGGCAACCTTGCATGTGCGTTTGGACACACGTGTGCACGTGTGAGAGTGCGTGGGGCAAGCTCGCACGTGTGCTTCAACACATGTGTGCGCGTGTGAGTGTGTGTGGAGCACGCTCGCACGTGCGCTCAGACACACGTGTGCGCATGTGAGTGTGCATGGGGCACGCTCGCACGTGCGTGTCATGTGTTACGTGTGTGAACCGGGCTGAACCGGATGGGAACCGGCAGTTCCACTCTAGAACCGGGCTGAACCGGATGGGAACCGGCAGTTCCACTCTAGAACCGGGCTGAACCGAATGGGAACCGGCGGTTCCACTCTAGAACCGGATGGGAACCGGCGGTTCCACTCTAGAACCAGGTGGTTCCCGGTTTTCGATTGGAACCGGGAGTGTGTGTGGGGCACGCTCGCACTTGCGCTCGGACACACGTGTGCGCGTGTGAGTGTGCATGGGGCACGCTCGCACGTGCGTGTCATGTGTTACGTGTGTGAACCGGGCTTAACCGGATGGGAACCGGCAGTT